CTGATTATTCCAAAAAAAAGGCTATGACCCTTGTAAAAAAATATATTCTAACCCATATAAAATCAATTTGGGGTAGACCTCGGGAACTTGCTGGTAGTTGTGTATTGAACACATGTGGATCCCCCATATGTGCTTCCAAATATAAAATAGTTGATTTTTATTTAATAATATATGTACTGTTCTTTGGTTTTCCTCATTTAACATTTTGAACATCTGTCAGTACATTTTGGGTTCATTTCACATCATACACAATCATTAAAATGATGGTATATACCATAGTTCATTCAACTAATTATTTTTTCTTTGAGATAGGGTCTCTGGTTGGCCTGGAACTTAGGTTTATCTATAGCTCACATAGATCCATCTACTCTGCCCCCCAAGTTCTGGGATTAAAGGCGTGTGCCACCTGAGGTTTTTTCCTCTCTGTTGTTAATTTCAGTTTTTCTTCTAATTTTTACTTTAAGATGCTTTTTGTTTAATATCTGGTACTTTGTGAAGATTCAGCATTTTACTGCATTCTTACAGTTTCATTCCACTCTTCATAATACTTGCTCTATGAACTTGTTTCTTAGCATCTGAATTCCAGATAACTGCTACATCAGGTCACTTTCTCATTTCTCTCCTCAGGGTGTTGTACAGTTAAGGAGTTAGTGTTATACTTCACAGAACCTCCAAGCCTTCCTAAGCTTCCTTGCAAAGTTCCTGATTTTTTTTTTGGAAAAACTTGAGAGCTTCCTGTCTAGGATATGAAGGTTTCTCCTTCCTCAATCTCTGAACAAGGCTGCTTTCTGTAAAGTAGTGTTCTATTAGTATATTAGCAGTCATGTTTCAGTTAGGTCCAAAATAGGTTCCTCTGATTTCTGTCTCTCTCTACAGACTAACTTTTAATGTAACAGCTAATGAATTTTGTACATGGGCACATGACAGACACTAAATCCTTTGCACTTGGGCTATCTCAGTCATCTCCAAAATTAAGAAGCATAGGTGATATCCCAATAATAACAGATGAGGAAACAGGATTAAAGGTTCAAGGTTGGGGCTGGAAAGATGGTTGAATGGTTAGGAGCTCTGGCTGCTCTTCCAGAGGACCCAGGTTCAGTTCCCGTATAGCAGTTCATAACTGTCTGTAACTCCAGTTCCAGGGGATTCGACACCCTCAGACAGTCATACGTGTAGACCAAACACCAATGCACATTTAAAAAACAAAAGGTTCAAGGTTGTACAGCTGATGTGTTCCTGTCTGTCTGTCTGTCTGTCTGTCTATCTATCTATCTATCTATCTATCTTATCTAGTTTTTTCAAGACAGGATTTCTCTGTAGCTTTGGGGCCTGTCCGAGAACTCACCCTGTAGACCAGACTGGTCTTGAACTCACAGAGATCCACCTGCGTCTGCCTCGCAAGTGCTGGGATTAAAAGCGTGCACCACCATAGCCGAGCCATTTATTTTTTGCCCCAACCCACCCCCATCCACTTTGGGACCCATTTTTAAAATGGAAAGACTCCTTTTTACTTACAAATATGATACATGATAAAGAACCAAAAATATTCGTGAAATTCCAGAGGGAATCACTACTAATGTAAGTAAGCTTATATAAAAATGTATTTAGTTGGTATAGTGCCAGGGTACTGTTGTTCTTCAGAAAAATGAACAGAACATACTGAGGCTTTGGGATATAGCTCAGTTGGTAGGATGCTTGCCTGTCATTCAAGACCTGAGTTCAGTAATCAGTACCAATAAAATAACTGACTGATCCAGGTGATGTTGGTGCGCACCTTTAATCCCAGCAGTTGGGAGGAGGCAGGAACAGGTGGGTCTCTGAATTCAAGGCCAGCCTGCCTGGTAAACAGAGTGAGTTCCAGGAATGTCAAGGTTACACAGGGAAACCCTGTCTTGAAAAACAATAATAAAATAAAAATAAACAACTGAATATTCTGTGAGCATCTTTCCATGTTAAATATGTGAAGTAAAATGATAAAGGATTGGGTCTTTTTCATATTTTTCTTTTTGCAATCATTTGTTCATAGTTTTTATTTGCTGAATTCTTCTACACTTGTTTTAATAGAAAGAATTGAGCTGAATTTGTAATCATTGTCATCCCAGTAACTGATTTTTTTTTTTTATTTCAAGACTGGGCTGGAGAGATGGCTCAGAGGTTAAGAGCATTGCCTGCTCTTCCAAAGGTCCTGAGTTCAATTCCCAGCAACCACATGGTGGCTCACAACCATCTGTAATGGGGTCTGGTGCTCTCTTCTGGCCTGCAGACATACACACAGACAGAATATTGTATACATAATAAATAAATAAATAAATATTTTTTTAAAAAAGACAGACTTTCAGGTAGCCCAGGCTGCTTAAAATTTACTATGTAGTCAGAGATGGTCTTGTAGTTCTGGTCCCCATGTCTGTTTTCCAAGTGCTAAAATTACAAGCATGCACTAACACACCAGGCTATCAGTTTTTGCTAAGGACAGTTATAGTTTCTTTTCTTTGAGATGAGTCATTAGGTCCAATCACTTGCTAGGATTTTTATCTTTCTGGTTTTTTGATATAGGGTTTCTTTTTGTAGCTTTGGCCATTATGGAACTCACTCTATAGACCAGGCTAACCTCGAATTCACACAGAGATCCACCTGCCTCTGCCTCCCTAGCACTGGGATTAAAAATGTGCACCTCCACCACCACCTGGCTAGCTAGGTTTTTTATTAATGAACATATTATTAAAAAAATTTTCTATCCCTGAAGGGGAGCAGAGAAAAATGTGTAGTTCAATTTTAAAAAAAGCCATGTGAAGATGGAAAATACATTAAAAAAATTCTATTCAGCACTTGGGATGCAGAGGCAAGTGGATTTATGTGAGTTTGAGGACAGCCTGGTCTACAGAGTGAGTTCCAGAACAGCTATGGCTACACAGAGAAACCCTGTTTTGACAAAAACAAATTCTTTTTTTCTAAAGCAGAATGGAAGCTGTATTCCCAACATACTAGAAATAATAAGCACTTTAGAGTAAAATTGTCTTCAGATTCTGCATCTACCAGTTTAGTTATGTAAATAATTTGAGCGAGTAAGTCACATAATATCCTAAGCCTCAATTTTCTTAGCAGAAAATCAGGGATTGTTATTGTTCTCTTACAGGTGGAATAATTTTAACAAGATCTACACATATGAAGTGCCCAGCACAACTCTTGTTTACCATCTTCTGGAGTTAGAAAAGACATTTTGCCTTTGCTAGTCTAGTGAAGCCCATGGAGGGAACCTCTATATCAAAGTGATGGTCTTATTTGCATAAATGAAGTGCCTGGAGTTACAAAGGACAACAATTATATTGAATACAGTTGAAACATTTAACTTTGTTATCTTTTTGGACTTACCTGGGAGAATTCATGACAGGATGGATTAATGAAAAACACCTAAGAAGAGAAGAGAGAAAGCTCATATACCTGCTTTTGACTTTTTCTTGAACTATCAGTTTGGATTTCCAACAGGCTTCTAGATATTTCCTCCTTCAGCACCCTGCCAGCAGTTTTCCTGCCAGGGAAATAAATGCCTCTCCCAAAGCCTAGCTGCTTTTCTCATATCTATAATCCACCACTCATGTAATATCTTAAGTTTAAGTCCACAAATCACATTAAAGTTTTCGCTTTCCTACTCTGTCAAATTAATCATGGTCATCTGTAGAATTGTTTACATTGCTGAGGAAGGCACCCAGGTCCTTGCCTCATGGTAGGCAAGTACTCCACTACATCTCTAGCCCTCATCTTAGAATAGTGAATCCTTGTTATTGAAAACGGGATTTTTTTTTTCTCTGCTGATTTCCAACATCCTCTTTTACAAAGTATTTCTTGGCAAATTTAGGTATATATATTATATAACTTTTTTTTCCTAGACAGGGTTTCTCTGTGTAACAGTCCTAGCTGTTCTGGAACTCACTCAGTAGACCAGACTGGCCTTGAACTCACAGAGATCCTCCTGCCTCTGCCTCCTAAATGCTAGGATTAAAGGGATTAAAAGCATGGACCACCACAGCCTGACTGATACATTCTTACACCTAAAGTGCTACTATACAGAGATGTGCTGTACTACCTCATACCTGTCAACTTGACCAATTTATGTATGCTTTAATTTTTATAAATATATCCTAAGTTCTTTGAGGAAATAAACCATTTCTTTCTTTTTTTTTTTTTTTGAGAGAAGGTTTCTCTGTAGCTTTAGAGCCTGTCCTGGAACTTGCTTTGTAGATAAGGCTGGCTTTGAATTCACAGAAATCTACCTGTCTCTGCCTCTTGAGTGCCGCTATTAAAGGCATGCACCACCACTGCCTGGCATAAACTACTTCTTACACTTACCTTTCTATCTCCTAGTAGTGCTTAGTATAGCTCTTAGAAGTACTTCCTAAGATCTTGATAGTAGTCATGTTAAAGTAGTTCTACTTCCAAAAACAAAGGAAAAGTTGACCTATTTTCTCCTGGTTTGTTATTTAATAGGATTTGTTGATGACATACTAAATCTTCATGTCAAAAACCTTCTGGGAATTCTGTATGTACATAAAATTTTCACTAACTCACTACCATAACTCTCCACATGATGCACTTGAGGTTGTTTCGTGGTGTGTAATATCATTGGTTAAAAAAGCTACGGATGAGATCTTTTTCTAATATGAAGCCCTGTTTATGACCTGATCACCACCTGCAGCCTAGGGCCTAACATATAACAGTGTCTGATAATAGACTTTTTCATAAACCCTGTTCTGTTTAAAAATTAACTTATTCCTTAAAAAGAGATTGTTTACTTTTAAAGGCTTGGGGGAACATATATATGTAATTATAAATGCAAGTTACAGAAACAAATACAATGAAAAAGCTTTGTAGAAAACAAAGTAATTTTTCCAGGAAAAAAGTTTTAGCAAAGGAGTCTTAAAATATCTTGATCATAGTAGGCATTGATAGTTTGTTTAACATTTATGCTATATCTTTTGGTTAAATTCTTTTACTTGTATTCCTAGGTTAAGACATCAGAATTTTATAGATATTCTCGACAGCTACGCTATGAAGTTGACCAAGCATTGAATTACTTCCAGAACATTCACCAGCAGCCCTTGTTAGACATAAAATCAAGCCGTATTCGTTCTGCCAAACCACAAACTACAGTATTCCGAGGAATGATTGGAAATAGCATGGTTAATAGTAAAATACTTCTTCTAAAGAAACCAAGGGTCTGGTGGGAACTGGAAGGCCCCCAAGTACCTCTGAGGCCAGACTGCCTTGCTATTGTCAATAATTTTGTATTCCTGTTAGGTGGAGAAGAACTAGGCCCAGATGGCGAATTCCATGTATCTTCAAAAGTGTTCAGGTATGATCCAAGACAAAATTCTTGGCTGCGCATGGCAGACATGTCTGTACCCCGTTCAGAATTTGCTGTTGGTGTTATTGGGAAATATATTTATGCTGTAGCAGGCAGAACAAGAGATGAGACTTTCTACTCGACCGAAAGATATGATATCGTTAATGATAAATGGGAATTTGTAGATCCTTATCCAGTTAACAAATATGGACATGAGGGGACAGTACTCAATAACAAATTGTTTATCACTGGAGGAATCACTTCGTCTTCCACATCTAAACAAGTATGTGTGTTTGATCCCAGTAAAGAAGGGACCATAGAACAGCGGACCAGGAGAACTCAAGTAGTCACCAATTGCTGGGAAAATAAGAGCAAGATGAATTATGCCAGATGCTTTCACAAGATGATATCTTATAATGGCAAGCTTTATGTCTTCGGTGGTGTCTGTGTGATCTTGAGGGCCTCTTTTGAATCTCAGGGCTGCCCTTCCACAGAAGTGTACAACCCAGATACTGATCAGTGGACCATCTTGGCATCCATGCCAATTGGTAGAAGTGGCCATGGTGTGACTGTGCTCGACAAACAAATAATGGTCCTTGGAGGGCTTTGTTACAATGGTCATTACAGTGATTCCATTTTCACCTTTGACCCAGATGAAAACAAGTGGAAGGAAGACGAATATCCTCGAATGCCCTGCAAGCTGGATGGTTTACAAGTGTGCAACCTATATTTTCCAGACTATATAATGGATGAGGTTAGGCGTTGCAACTGATGTCATCTTTCTCCCTAAAAATTAAAAAGGCAAATAAAGCATTTGTAATAAAGTAGTTTAAAAGCATAAAGAAAAACCTCACCAGTTTTCCTATCAAAGCCATTGGTCTAATATTGTAAGTTTTCATTCTGTGCTAGCATCTTTTTCCTTTGAGTGACCTCAGACTCATGCAATAAGTTTATTTAAAGCACTAGCTCTTGAAACTACTTCCAAAAGCAGTTTATACTTCTCCACTTACCTGGGAAGTGTATTTTTCTGCTTTAAACATTTCTTCCAGATGTTAGTGTAAGATTTGTGCATCTTCTAAGAGAAGACCCAGTAAGTGTCACTGGATGTGATTTCAGTCTCTGTCTGTCTGAACTTGTTTTAGACATTGTTTTAGTCTGCTATATGTTTTGGTTTATTATTTAAAAGTTTAAAACTCTTGACCTTTTTGCATGGCTTTTGCTGAAAATGCAAAAATTTAAATTTTCTACAAAAGTTTTTTATATCAGAACACTATTTCTAAGCTGCCTTCTCTTATCTACATTGTGTTAGTGAAAGCATATCCATACTCGCGCACATCCTATAAATATATAAGGCATATCCCTTTTATGCGTGATTAGGATTCTATATTTTTAAGCTAGTGCACTTGCACACACAGTTCGCCATACTTGTTGAAATTTAGATGTAATGTCATTACTGTGTTAATGTTTTTAGAAAGTTAAAATAACTGGAGTCCTCATTCACTATCAAAGTAGTCTATCTTCAGTCCATACTAGTTCAGTAAAATTTGAACTCATATTTCTGAAACATGTATGGATAAAAAACTTTTACATTTTGTTTTCAAAACTAAACATTAGTATTTTATATTAATGTATGTTTTTTTTCCTTGTTTGAAAATGTTTTTCTTCGCAGTCTGTTTAATCTTGGTTACCCTGTTTTAGTGAGAATCAGAGTGCTCTTTGTCAAGCTCTCAGCCTGCAGTGTGCAAGCACTTTTAAAGAAAAGTCAGGTACTACCCGACTCCTAAGTAAAAGCCTCGTAAAAGTAAGTGCAACTCCCATAGTTTCTATTCAGTAAGGCTGCTGCAGGTGGTGGATGTGGGGCGGCAACTCTTACACAGTTTGAGTCAGTTTTGACTGAGAGGTGAGAAAGGAGTTATGATGCGTCTGCTTGATCACTTTGTACAAAATATTCAGTGGCACTAGAGAGATATGTTAACCCTCAGCGTCTTTTTGGTTTCTGGAAACTACTAGCATGAAGGATAGTCACCCGAAAGTTTGAAATGAATCTTGAATAGCTGTTTTAATGGCGTTTATAATAAATAGTTTAGGATTAACTGCACATTTCAACTCTTCAAATGCAAAGGAACAAAATATAGCTGACAAAATTAAGAGTGATCCGTGTGAGTGGGTCATTCACATTGATGCCATTTTCTCATGAGCAGTCTGTATCTGATTAAATCTTACACTGGCATAGCCTGCCAGATCTCTGGATTTTGGTGCAATATTGCAATGCCTTCTATATGGCTGCTGTTGTATAAATTTTTCTAGTTACTTTGTTTTGTTTTATTTTTGCTGCTGGCACCATTGAACATAAAATGGAAGTGTGAAATAATGGAAATGTGAAGATTTTGGGTTTTTCTCCCCCCCCCATGCTGCGAATCAGTGTGAATAAGGCCTGATTTTTCAAAACTGTAAAGCCAGGTATTTGAGTTTTAGAAAGTGTCAGGTACACTTTCTAAAGAAAACCTTTTTTTCTTTCAGGAATCAGAATAGTGGCTCCTTTTGTGTGTGATCCTTCCATTTTTATTAGGTGGCCTTTCATTTATTTCTGATTTCTGAAAATAAAATTGATATTTGAGTTTCCCTTAGAATGTGGGTAAAGGGTTTTTTATTTTAAAAATAAGTTTAATTATTTTGTTTTTTGAAACTATAGGTTAGCCATCTTTTTTTCTACTATACTTAGAAGTTTATTGGTGTGTCTTTAAAGAAAATGTCTTCATTATTTTTCTTGATATCTTTTGTTGGAAATGACCAAGAAGAGGATATCAGACAGGGTACCCCTATCAAAGGCTTTACACTCCAGTGGCAGTTCTCTTTAATTGCTTTGATACAACTTCATAGTCCTGTGTAGATCAGCATCTTCGTAAACAATTGAATAGTCTTGGTCTTCCATTTGGAATAAACAAGGCCAAGGTCAACGATTGTTTCAGAAAATTCATGATATCTTAACTTGAACTAATTCTGGGTTCAGCTTCACATAAGTCATGTCTGACTATAATCTTAGTAGTAATCAGTTTTGAGCTTTAAGACTAGTTGCTATTGTTTGAGTTCTGAATGTATGAGGAAATCATAGTTCTAATTTAGATTATAAATCCACAAATAACTTACATTCCCTTTTAAAATTATGGCTTAATAGCTGCAAGAGATTTATTTTTGTTATACTAAACTATGAAAATTTTTTCATAGAATTTTTTCAAGCTTTTCTGTGCTTCATTTAGAACCACTTTGTCTATATGCATTGTATATGAACAAGAGTGTCATTTTGAAAAACTCAGTAAGTGGTTTGAAACGATATGGTTTAACTGTTAGGATCTTTAAATGCGTCATCTTTCACTTTACATTTTAAATGGTAGATGTCACAAAAAATAGTAAAGTTTCTTTAATTGCCTTTTAGTTGGCACCACTTATTTTCTTAAATGTCTTTGACCTAAGTTTTGATGTTAAAGAAAATTCTTGCACTACAGCCTTTTCATAGAATACAAGATTCTCGTGTTGAAGGTTTTGTATTGGAAGAAATGCTACTGGTTTCTAAAAGGCAAAGCATTATAGAATGATTAACTTTGTTTGCTAACTTTTTCTGTGTCCTCCTCATTGCTCTATCTTGTATGAGTGTTACTCTAATTGTGAAATACTTACTGAGCCCTTCTCGTATCTTTTTTAAAGCAGCACCTTTGGACACCTCATTCTGGGAAGCTTGCTTGAGTCACAATAAAGGACACACACACTTGTGTGGGGAAGAAGTGGTAAAATGGAGAGTTTTGTCTTAATTACATGAAACTAAGCTTTAAAATATTTTCTAACAAATTATTTGAGCTGCATAATGTAAACATGTCGAACGTTTTGTGGGACTATTTTTCTATATGTGTATGTGGGTGTGGGTCATAACATTTCAGTTTATAATATAAGTTGTTATTTCAGTTTATAAGCTAGCTCTCAAAAGAAACTAGCTCTTTTGAGAATACATAATTTAAAGGTTTTAGATCGAAGTAAAACAACATAGACAATAGTGCAAAGTAGAAATATTTGAGGGCTATATGGCAGTGGAACTGCTAGTGCCAGTTTTCTTGTTTGCCTACCATGTTTTCAGTTTGTTGTTGTTGTTGTTGTTTTTTGGTATTCTAAACATTTTGTGAGGCCATCCATTTGTTTAATTGCATTTAGAGTCGGTTTGGGAATAAATATCTTCTAAAAAGAGATTTATCTTAAAAATTAAAGTCCTAAAAAATTAGTTTATTGAGAGTTTATTACTTCAGATACCCCATAGGCATGAACTGGAATAGATAATTCATGGAAATCCCATTCTTTTACTATATCAGTATAGCTCCCAATATTATATGTATAACATTGAGAATGCCATTAGCTTTGTTCCCTCTTAAAATTCTTGGGTTTTCTTTTGACTTCTTTGGGAACAACTGCATTAAAAGTTACCAATCAGTATATCAGTAAGGATTGGGTGTTTGCTTTCTGAAGGAATGTTCCTAAGAGGTGATCAGAAAGGTTCTTTTCTACCTAACTTGTTTATGCCCTTTGCTCTTGGGCATAATTTGTCTATAAAAAATATTTTGACCTTTAGGTACCTTTGGGGCCAGTAGTCAAATAATCCTAGAGGCGATATTAAAATCTTAGGATAATTTAAGGCTTGCCTTTTATACCTGTTTTGAAAGCCTTTACATTTTTTGTCAGGTAATTTTTTCCCAAGCCGTGGATATAATCTATTCAACATGTTTATGCTATCCATTCTGTTTTTAAATTGAAAAAAAGTTAAAAGTGTTTATGAAGAAAAATTTAAATAAAATATTTTTAATATTTAAAAGTATGTCTTTATCTGATTATTTAGTCTTTTATTTAATCCTTCACATTCAAGTCATTAATAACTTAATAAATAGTATACTTTGTTATTCTTCAATGTGCCAAGAAAACTGTTATTTCTACCAATGTTTTCAGAAGATTCAAATGAGAACGTTAGAGTGAGATGATTTATATTCTTATATGCAATAGAAATGATATAACAAAGCCAAATTATTAAAGGTCTACTAACAAGACTTTTTCAGTTTTATAGAATAGAAATATGAGAACTGAGAAAAGGCATGTGATCCTCAACTTTAGTTGGTGAGCTTTATGTTTTCTCTGATATTTTTCTCATGGTTCTTTTTAAAAAATAATTTATTTATGTTATATATATATTGGTGTTTTGCCTGCAAGTATATCTGTATGAGGGAATCAGATCCCCCTGAAGAGGAGTTATAGACAGTGGTGAGCTGCCATGTGGTTGCTGGGAATTGCAGCTCTGGAAGAACAGCTAGTGCTCTTAACCGCTGAGCCATCTCTCCAGCCTCTTTCATTGTTCTTAACTTAGAAAATAGGCAGAAAGTAGTCTTAGGTATGTGTGCATGCACACACATGTGCCTTTCATGTGAACTCCTAAGAAACCTCAGCAGGATTCCAAAGGACCTGACTTACTCAGATCATTTTCTAGCTTTTCTGTCCACCACTTCCTGCGCTCTGTTCCAGTGGCCTTCTTACATTCTGTTTACCTTTCGGTGTATTCGTGTCCAGCTTCAAATTGTCTTTCTCTTTCCTTGCCAGTCCACTTAATTTATGAAGCCCAACTGAAATGCTTCTGTGATGGTTGAAGGAGATGTCCCCCAATAATCTCAGGCATTTGAATACTTGGTCCCAAGGGGAGGCTTGGATGTGTGGTCTTGTTGGAGGAAGTGTGTCAGTGGAGGCAGGCTTTTGAGATTTCAAAAGACTTGCCATTTTGAGTGTGCTTTCTGTTTCCTGCTTGTAGATAGAAATGTAAGCCCTCAGCTCTTGGCTTCTACTCCACCCACATGCCTGGTACTTCTGCTCTGCCATCATGGAGTCTAATCCTCTGTGACTGTAAGCTCAAAACTCTCATATGATTTTCTTCGGTCATGGTATTTTATCATGACAATAGAAAAATAATACACCTCTTGTATTTCTACCCAGTGAATTTATTGTCTCTTCTACACTCCACTCATTTGTAGCTCTTGATTTCATTCAGTTTGCACAACAGCATAGTACAGAATTCTTTCTCCGTGCTTGGATCATAGTCTCCTTGGATATAAATACCCTATCTTACTGCCTTGAATGGAAAGACCCTCAGGACTAGCCTGTGCTATGTTCATAGTAAGTGTTCATTGCAGCATGACAGGTTCCATTGTAGGTTACAGGCAAGTGCTAGAG